TAACCCTACGTGATTTACTTCAACCATCCTGAGTATACAGTCAGCTAATTAACCCTACGTGATTTACTTCAACCATCCTGAGTATACAGTCAGCTAATTAACCCTACGTGATTTACTTCAACCATTCCTGAGTATACAGTCAGCTAATTAACCCTATGTAAATGGATGGGGGGTCAAAGTGTGCAAGCCACAACCTTTTATAGAGTACCATTCAATATGGTACTATATATGTCTGATGTCAAAGTTATCAGCTGTTAATTTAACTCTACATTTAGTAACAACTTGTAGTAGAAAATAGTTAAATACCAGATACAACATAAGAGATGCCAAAAAAAATTATATGCGCATTTTAGAGGTTATATGGGTTATACAAATGAAATATGCAAAGTGAACAATGGACAAAAGTATTTTCATTCTTCACACGAGCATCACCTTGCACTCGGACTTGTCAGATTCTGACTCAGACTAACATCATTAATTCCCAGACATATCTTGAGTACAAATACAAATTTTAATTAATTCAAGTACCAGCACCATTGGACAGCTTTCTTTAAAGATTAACACACACCCTGAATATCTACATTTAATATGGTATTGGTCATGTGCCAAAGGATCATCTAAACAAGAATTACACAAATGCTTGAATTATAAAACTTGAATAACAAAAATATAATTAATACTTATTTCATTTGTGTCAGCCTTTCCAGTTTTCTTTCTTATCATATTTTAAAATTTCTGATAATTGAATTTTTCTAAACTTGACTACATGGTACTTATTCTTCATTCATTTTGTCTCAGAACATCAATTATGGTCTTATGTAATACTGAGCTTAGTTCTGTTAGCAGAATAACAAATAACGTGCTAACAATAACAGCAGTCTCCAGAGATCTGAATACTTCTCTTTTGAGATATTATCTATATATCTATCTATCTATATATGTATAAAGCACAAAAAAAAAGCTATGTGCCTGTCTGTTTATCTGTTATCTAACTACTCCTAAGTCACTGGGCCAAACTCAACTGAACTTTGTGGGATGATAGTTTAGAACAAAAGGCATGTTAATGAGGGTTCACAACCCTACATCCCCCATTATTTCTATTATTGAGCATTTATTATCTTTGAGGTAAGGTAACGTTAACTACATTCATAAATGGTGTCATGTTCTTTCTATAACACAACATATACACAGTGTGGGGAGAAGGCACACAAACATCTTATAAATCTCAAAGAGTGTGCTAGGAATCTAATGAAAAAATGACTACCACTATTGCAATAATACATAAAACTCAGCTGAAGTTTCTACTCCAACAGCCATCATAAAGTTGATATGAAGAACCATTGCTTGAGTTATACCCACGTCCTACTTTGGCCCATAAGACACTTCTGCTGCCAGTGACCTTCAATTAATTAAGCACATGAAACAGGAAGGATATTAAGAGTTGGGTGTTGAAAGCGGGTAATGGAAAGCACCCCTACCGCCACTACCTCTTCCTACAAAGTCACCCTCACCATCACACAGTGTATACCAAGTCTTAAGTATATACATATTGCATTATTAAAGTTTGTGCAAAATTTTTGGTGAGGTGATAATGAATAATGTAGTAATATTTTACGTTATAAATAAGTTGTGTGAAAGTTAGAATTTTTCTGTTATTTATCATAGCATCCACCCACACATTTTTTTAAGTTCACAACCTGGACAAAGGGGAGGTATCTCACCTTGTAAACTTATATTTCTCTCTTTGTAATTTGAGAGATAAGTGAATGTTTGGTAACTTTTTAAAGGGATATTAATCTTAGTTACAAGGATAATGTGTAGCCATGCTTATTAATCACGATGAATCTTAACATATTGCCAGCATTGTACACGTCTTCTACGAACAGTACCTAACAATATGGACGGACACTTTGAAAAGCTTGGCTTTGTCCCTTTTTGCCATCTTTGTTGTCACTTTCTTGCTCCTTGGACTGAATTTCTTCTCAGCAGCCGTCACTGTATTCACAATCCTTATGATTACTGTAAACATGATGGGGTTGATGTACTGGTGGAACATCTCTCTGAATGCTGTTTCTCTCGTGAACCTTGTCGTGGTAAGTTTCAGTGATAAGTATGTATTTCTAACATTCTTGCACTAAACCTAAGACTCAAATATCCATTTTTATTTTAAATACCTGAATGTAAACAATGAAAACTATGTTACTCCTTAATAAGGTAACATAAAAGTGAAGTCTAAATATTTTACAGTTTGTTCTCCATGAAATTTATGATAGTTCAGTAAAGTGAACAATTGTGTGTTTTTATATTATCAAGATTAGCCTGATTTGGTAAAAATCATAGCTATTATGGCATGAAGATTCAGTTTTATAAGGAGATGCATACTGAATAGTTTATCAATATATTGAAATAATTAGTTTTTTAGTCTTTTTATGAATGAAACACTGTTGTAGAACTTTTTTTTTTGTATAAACAACATGTCTTTCTGTGTTACTTTTTCATGTATAAACAGTCTATGTGTATTAAAAACTGTCTTTTCCTTCAGGGTATTGGAATTTCAGTTGAATTCTGTTCTCATCTAACACGACTGTTTGCAATCAGTACAGAAATTACAAAAGTTGATAGAGCAAGAACTGCTCTAGAGGAGATAGGTAGTTCAGTAAGTACTAAAATTAAGAAGGACCACTCTAGACGATATAGATAGTTCAGTAAGTATTAAACTTGAGATGGACCTCTGTAGAGGAGATAGGCAGTTCAGTAAGTACTAAACTTGAGGGACCACTCTAGAGGATATAGGTAGTTCAGTAAGTACTAAAATTAAGAAGGACCACTCTAGACGATATAGATAGTTCAGTAAGTATTAAACTTGAGAAAGACCTCTGTAGAGGAGATAGGCAGTTCAGTAAGTACTAAACTTGAAGGACCACACTAGAGGATATAGGTAGTTCAGTAAGTATTAAACTTAAGAAGAACCACTCTAGAGGATATAGGTAGTTCAGTAAGTACTAAAATTAAGAAGGACCACTCTAGAGGATATAGGTAGTTCAGTAAGTATTAAACTTGAGAAAGACCTGTGTAGAGGATATAGGGAGTTCAGTAAGTACTAAACTTAAGAAAGACCACTCTAGAGGAGATAGGTAGTTTAGTAAGTACTAAACTTAAGAAGGACCACTATAGAGGATACAGGCAGTTCAGTAAGTACTAAACTTAAGTAGGACCACTCTAGAGGATATAGGTAGTTCAGTAAGTATTAAACTTAAGAAGGACCACTGTATAGGATATAGGTAGTTCAGTAAGTACTAGACTTAAGAAGGACCACTCTAGAGGATATAGGTAGTTCAGTAAGTACTAGACTTAAGAAGGACCACTGTAGAGGATATAGGTAGTTCAATAAGTACTAAACTTAAGAAGGACCACTGTAGAGGATATAGTAGTTCAGTAAGTACTAAACTTAAGAAGGACCACTGTAGAGGATATAGGTAGTTCAGTAAGTACTAAACTTAAGAAGGACCACTGTAGAGGATATAGGTAGTTCAGTAAGTACTAAACTTAAGAAAGACCACTCTAGAGGAGATAGGCAGTTCAGTAAGTACTAAACTTAAGAAGGACCACTCTAGAGGATATAGGTAGTTCAGTAAGTACTAAACTTAAGAAGGACAACTATAGAGGATACAGGCAGTTCAGTAAGTACTAAACTTAAGTAGGACCACTCTAGAGGATATAGGTAGTTCAGTAAGTATATAGTTCTTGTTTTTATTTTTGAGAATATACATAGCATTAAAAGTTTATTGTACAAAAACAAATTTTAGATTATTGTAAAAAGAAATTTTTTTTTTAAATGAACAAGATAATAATTGTAGAGCATTAACTGTTATAATACCAATAACTTTGAAGTCATATCATTTGTGGACAACAAATTTTAATATATAAATATGATTCTCAGAATGCTGTCAATAAAATGTTGATGTTTTTCTTTTATTACAGATTTTATCTGGAATAACACTAACTGACTGTGGGGTGTTAGTCCTTGCTTTTGCTAAATCACAGATTTTTCAAGTTTTTTATTTCCGTATGTACCTGGGAATTATTGCTTTCGGCACTGTTCACAGTCTGATTTTTCTGCCAGTCTTTCTTAGTGTACTAGGTAAGTGAACATTCTTGTTTTTAATATAAAATATTCTCCTTAATGTTTTGTTTGTAAAATCAGTAATGGAAAAATTATATCCTTTGTTAGTTCCTTCCTCTTCTAAAACATTGTTGACTTATTTTGTTTCAGACAATGGTTTGTTAACTAAAACTAATTATACATGATAGAAAAATTATGTCAAATGTTTTAAACTGAGTAATTATTGACACTGTGGCAAACACATAGGAATCTGTCCGGTACTACTAATACTAGTTCACGGAGTATAGATCTAACTTTCAAGTACTACTACTACTACTTCACGGAGTATAGATCTAACTTTCAAGTACTACTACTTCTACTTCAT